ATTGGATATATGAGTCGACATGTTAATAATGTAAGTATTATAAGTATCTATTTCTTTTTATTAGATAGAGCAAAAAGAGTTACATTATGTATGTGCAATGTCATATTCATTTATTGATAATATATTATCGTAACTTAAATTGACATAAGGAAAAAGTGCTATTACATTCGTATCGATATAATTATTAAAAAAATATATATAAAATTAAAAATCTGTATTCTTTATTACTGATAGTCTTTATTATTGATTTTTAGTACTAGTATATATTGGATAGTATATATTGGAACGCGGCCTACATTGCATGTGTACATAATACAACTGTATTTCTAAGGCCCGATTTCATAAATATATTAGGTGTACAACTTTGCTTCCGCCGTTTTCCTATAGATGGCTTTAGCGGTAAGTGTTGATCGAAATAAATAGATCATAGACGTCATACAATAAACTTGGGCATCTGTCAACATAACTCTATAGAAACATTAGTCGATTTGTGTCTGCATCATAAAGTTATTCTCGATTGAAAATATCAGTTTACGAGCCAAATTCTCGTCATTTGCGAGAGGTTTTAATTTTTTGCTCCAATATGAAGAAATCTGCGGCTGAGGCTCATCGAATGCTCTCAAATACTTATGGTGAGGCCGCTATTAGTGAAAGAACGTTTCGTGAGTGGTTTCAACGTTTCAAGAACGGTGATTTTGACGTCCAAGGTCATGCTCTGTATTTGATGGGACCAGCTCGGCGTAGTGTATTATGAACTATTAAAACCGACTAAAACAATCACAGGCGATCAGTATCGAACGCAATTGATGCATTTGAGCCGAGCATTGAAAGACAAACAGCCGCAATACAACGAGAGACATGATAAAGTGATTTTGCAGCATGACAATGCTCGACCCCATGTTGCGAAAGTGGTCAAGACATACTTGGAAACGTTGAAATGGGAAGTCCTACCCCACCCGCCATATTCTCCAGACGTTGCTCCCTCTGACTATCACTTGTTTCGATCAATGGCACGCGGTCTGGCTGACCAGCACTTTCGGTCTTATGAAGAAGTAAAAAATTGGATCGATTCGTGGATAGCCTCAAAAGATGACCAGTTTTTTCGACGCGGGATTCGTACGCTATCCGAAAGATGGGACAAAGTAGTGGCCAGCGATGGACAATACTTTGAATCATAAATGTATAACCAGTTTTTTACAATAAAGCCTCGAATTTCGGAAAAAAACGGCGGAAGCAAAGTTGTACACCTAATAGCAATCAGTATGTTCCTTTTTTCCGCGAGTAATTCAAGGACAAAAAATCGTAGAAACATTTTTAAGAGACAATTTTGTAGAGAAAGCTTTAAGCTTTCACAATAAATAATCGAAAATTTGTTTAATTTTTTTTTGGGTACAGCTTTTTTTGAGTGCGCTACTAAGTGCATAAAAAATTCTTAATTCTTTTTAGTTGATAATTTTCTATATAAAAAAAAGTCAAACTCACATAACAAAACTCACATAAATTCCAAAAATATAATAACCATTCGAAAATAGAGATTTCAAATTTTCAAATTCTTTTTCAATTTGAATTTGGATCATTTTTAACAAAGATATTGTATATACAATTTTGAGCTAAAAAATACCGCAGAACTTTTTCTCTGACTCAATATTATACAAGATATTCTTATATTAAAAATGCTTAAATTATTATATACTTTTGAATTAATAAATTAAATAATTAGTTTTTAAAAATTTATGGCAATGTTCTTGAAATATACAGTTAAATTTGTTACAAATTTTAATTTTTAATATCATACATATTAATACATATTAATGTTATTTTGATGCATTTAATATTGTACATTTAATATTGTATATTTACATTTAATATTGTATATTTTATTTATTATATTTTGTATACATACTCTTTTATTTTTCAGCATATCGTTAATGATAAAAAAATTGTTATCTGTAAACTTCAGTCTACTTTATCTAAATAGCGTTTTTCGGTTCTGCTTTATAGGACTCCGGATGACTGCAGTGAGTAATATAAATACATATGTTAAGATTCTGAAAAATATTTTCTAAACAATTATGAATTAACAGATATTAATCAGTAATATGTATTTGACGATTATAATAATTAAATAAATTTAAAACAATTAAAATGATATTAAATAACTAATAATGATATTAAAAAACAAATATACAAACTAATGGACATTATTGTCTAAACATTATTGTCTAAGATTTTTTAACATAATCATTAAATTACACGTTTTTTTTATGTTTTTACAAAATTGTTGCATATTATTTTCAGACACAATTACTTATCAATATGAATAATTATTGAAAAATTATCAATTTTATAATAAAATAATTCTGATGTGTATATCAAAACAGAATAAGCAATTTTTATCAAAACTTTGAAATTTTTAAGTATATTATTATTATTCATTTTTAGGTGCCATCATTACCTTTCTTAGGAAGAACGTTAGTTAAGTTGTTTATGGTTGGTTACGTTTGCGGTTAACTCACTAACACATTTCTTCTTATTATGTTTTGTTATACAAATACTATTAGATGCAGTAAGATTTATTGTTTTATCCGTGCACATTATTTCTTATTTATGTATAAAAGATATTATTAAATATCATTAATAAATCTTGTGTACAAATCTCTTTGTAACATATTATTAATGTAACTTACAATCAAAACAAAATATTACTAAATATTACTAAATATTAAAAATATTACTAAATAATATTAAAAACAGAAATATTGAATAACAATAAATTATACATTGTAAGAACGTAATTCAAAATGAATTCTATTCTCAACATGATTTCTTACGTATGTATAAGGTCTAATGTAAAAATAATGTAATGGATTAAACTGCAAATAATGTTTGATCAATTATTATATTAATAATCATGTTTTCTTTTTCTTTAAAAAATATATAGAATATACAGAAATGAGATGAAGTGTTCATGAAAACTGGTATCAATTTGAATCATCGATGCAACACACGTTCTTGTTCCTAATTCTAATAATTTAGAATGTAAAATTTTGACAATTGAAAAGTTCAATCTATCTTTGCTCTCATTCATAGCAGTAAAATATAAGGTAGCTTTTACCTATATTTTATGTATTAGGAAATTGTTAGCTTTTTTATCTTTTCTTTGAAAAATCTTCTAATTATTTGATAATAATTTTTCAGATTATACATCAATCATATTCGATTGCCCTTCTATTTTTAAAAGCGAACTAAAAATGAAAGAGTGCTCACATTTTAAATATGGTAATTAGGATAAAAAGTGATTAGGATAAAGAGATCAACAAAAGATAATTTGAAAACAAAGCTATTTTGGGTAATAATTCAAAGTATAGTCACAATATGCATTTTTATGTACTTTGAAATTGATAGCTACTAACAATAAGTTTCATTTTTTATTGTCACTCTCTATTCTTTTATTTTTTAAATGAATTAAAAGAAATTAAATTAAATGTAAGCAAATTGTAGTAAATATATAAATAAATATGTAGCAAATTATAACTAGTAATAAACTATAGATAAAATTCACTTATAATAATTATAACATTAAATTTGTTTGAAAAATTAGTACATATTTATCTTTAGGATTAATAGTAATAAAATAAAATGTACAAATAAACGTTATTAAAATAATATTAACAAGAATAATATTTTGAATTTTGACAAGATATATAATATTATTGAAATTATATTATATATATTTGTTTATATGTAACTTTTTTTACAAAATTTATTGCAAAATAAATTAATGATACAGTAATTTAGATATTTAATATTTTTTTAATGGATAAAGAATAATAAACGATTTATTGTGACAATATAGTGTGAAATACGATAAATAAGAAGTAAAGTCTAACGTTCTAATTTTCAAAGGATTAAATCAAAATTTATGAAAAATTGTTTGAAAATGTTGAAATTTATTCCTTTTATGTGCTAACATACATTAAAGAATGCAAAGACTTAAAAGTAATTAATTTAAAACAAAAAAATAATTAAGGTTTCTTTAACTTTAATTTTTTAAAAATATATTTGTAATAGAAATACTTACTTTAATTGTCATTTTATTACTAAATGAATGTGTTTCATTTTGAAATAATTTATAAAATGGTATTGATATGTTCACTGTAACATAAATCAATCCTCAATTGCTATCTGAAGGAGCATATACTACTATTGTACTATTGTAGTACTAGTATTTACTGGTTTTTCTACGTCTTGCTTTGCGATGAAGTACCCCTGCAATGAAGTATTGGAATACCATAAGATAATCGCTGCTTCGTAGTTCTAGGATAATTATAATGTAACTTGGAGTCCAACCTGTACAAATGAAATGATCATTTCATGATATATCACAAATTTCTTGAGAATTACAAGCTTTTCTATTTCTTTATGGCTTTCTTTACAAAAACTTTTTATTGATGATAGTTAATTTACTATGTTTCTGATCTGTCATTATAGAATAAACATTTATAATTGGTAAAAGAGAAATGACATGTCCCACTAATGACAATATATATACAAATTACAAAGAAATAGATACTTAAGAGAAATAAGATATTCAAAGATGACGAACAGTTGCTATCAATTTTTAATAGTGATTGTTCCGTATATATTGCTAAAGAAAAAAAATAGAATATGTGCAATAATGAAAATATCAGATGGAGGTAAATACAAATACCTGGATATAATCTGGATATATATCTAAATCTAATACGCATATTTAAAAATTATTGTTTATGCTAAAACAGAAAGGATCATGCAGCTATAACTAAATTAAATTTCTTAATTAGGAGTTAAATTAACTTCGAAATAAAATATTATTCTATATATTTTATGGTCGGAAAGAAAAAAGGAATTCGAAAACAAGCTACATATACAAAATTTCATTAATTAGAAAAGAGTGTTCACAGAATGGATTTTCGGAACGTAAATCCATTAAATGTTAAATTAAATAGATTCTCAGGCAACTTGTTACCAATGACTAGCGACGATTCTCTATTTCCTGTAGCATGGAGAATATATAGTGCTATTATATGGTTGATCGAAATGATTCAAACTAGCACAGTAGTTACCGGAATCTTGATTGTGCCAAGAAATAAGACTTTGCAGGATGCGATGGTTGGCTTAGTTGTCACTATAGAGGTATTTTTCTTATTAAGGCAAATGCATGTGCACAGAGACCTTGTAACTCAATTGATTCAAAAGCTGAATGAAATTCTGTGTTCTGAGGATAAGACGATGAAAATCATCGTGAAGTCAACCTTGAAGCCAGTAGAGATTCCGCTGAAATTTTACTGTATTGTTGGTACTGGATCTATATTTGTGTGGTGTTGCACATCTTTCACGGTAATCTTCAAGAAAAATTATTTTCTCTATGAAGATTACAGACTCCCAATAGTTCTTTCAAAGCAACCATTTTCGATGGAAATGTTTCTGTTGGGAAACTGCATTGCAACTATTGCCAGCGTGTATATGTTTGTAAAGAAAGTTGCCTTAGATGTCTATATGATAAATCTCGTCTTGCTAGTAACAGCACAATATCGCTATATTGCTATGAAGCTCACAACAATATTTCGAGAGAATGTTCCACAGAATCAGAATAATGAATCCGAAAAGAAATATTCTATTGTAGATTCTTTGGCGATCCTGATAAAGATGAAAGCGTTATGTCGACATCACAACGCTGTGGTTCAGTAAGTATAATTGGTGAACATTTGCCTGTTTTTCAGTTAGTTTATTATTTTACCACATACTATTTTTTCGAATTGTTACTCGTCTCTTAAAAATATTCTTTAATTTATATTACTCGATCCTAATTGAGCTTATTTATTTATGTATGTTCATTTTTCAGGATAACGTTAATGCTAAAGGAATTATTTTCCTTGAATATGAGTCTAATGTATTTGACAAATGTTTTTCTTTTTTGTTTTCTCGATGTTATGCTGATAAATGCAGTGAGTAACATTTAATAATAATAATAATAATATCAAAAATGTTTTTTAGATAATTGAAGGATAATTGATTAGATGATTGATGTTAATGATAACGATGTCAAACCTAGGTATTATCAAAGGCTCCTGTCGAAGGAATTATGATTATTATGTATATATCCGGTGGCCTAGTACAACTTTATATTTTATGCTCATGCGTTAATCAATTACTAAATGCGGTAAGCTTTATTTAATATTTATTGATATATTTGTTATTCTCTATTCTTTCTATCTTGTTTTACTTTGTAATAATTTTAAAAAAGTTTTAAATTGTGGTACAATTTTTTACTGCAATCTAATGTTAAATTTATTAATACTTAAGAAGTATAGTTACATATATATATACATATTTATCAAATTTAATTCTTTATGTTTTATTTAAAAGGATTCTGAAAACGGATTATCATTAATAGATACATAAATTACATATTGTACAAATATTCAGGGTGGTCAATAAATTTTGGCTCCACCTGAGTTCTGAGCAGGTAGAGCGGACTAAACTGAATAGAAAAGTCTTCTACTATTTTGTAATTTGCACAATAGTTAACAATTGTTAACGAGATATTAACATTTAAAGGTAATCGAATACGCGCATTGTTGAACACGAAGTATCGCAATATGTATAAAGTATTATAAGGTTCAACAACTGACTTCAAAACAGGCTTTATTCAATGTTAATATAAGAGAGCATAGGACTATGTTGCAAGTTAAACTTACGAGAGTAGACTGATTCGATCAGAGCTAGAAAGATCTTTATTTCAACTAAAAGAGATGGAGATTCCGATAAATTTTAACCAATAACGTAATATTTTCGAATACCAAAAATATATGTGGGGATGAAAGAAGCTGAGATATGTTACTGTCGATGATTCACGAATCCGTTTAAGAATGAGTCATAAGATATCTGTAAGACTGAATATTCGAGACGGATCTTAAGGGTAGATAAAAAAGGCTAAAAACGATAGGTTAAAGCAAATAAGAAAAGTAGCAGGAAACAAGATTTATTAGGAATGTTTAGAAAAAAATGTGTAGAAATACTTTAAAAATGTGATTAAACAATTGTTACATGGCATGTAACAGCGTCCGTCCGATCTACTATTGCCGAAAGTATGACTCACGAAGGTATGATCGCACGGCGCGCAGGCCACGAGGAGCGGGGATGGCCTAGCAAGCGCGCCGCGCCGTTTAGAGTTAGGGGCTCCGGACAAAAGGAACAGGGAATAGAGAACAGAGAATAAGATTTTCACTTATTAGAAATTATGTATTGTGGAATACACAATTTCTGATAAGTTGAAATTTTTATTCTCTGTTCTCTGTTTGTTGTTCCTTTTATTGTGTGGAGCTCCTTAGACTCTAGACGGCGTGGCGTACTTGCTAGGACATTCCCGCTCTTCGCGCGCTGTGCGATTGATGGGCCGTATCTTCGGCAATAACTATTTTTCTCATTAACTCTACCTGTTCAAGACAGGTGAGGCCGAAATTTAATGCCATCCTGTATATACAATATATAATATTTACGAAGTAAATAGTAGGACAATGTTGAAAGTTGTTTGTATATAATTAATAACTATATTTCTTAAGCTTATTAGACAATCTATAATCTAGATTAGAATCTAGATTAGAATTTAGAATATAACTTTATTTATAATTCTGTATGTTACATAAAAATAAAAATTTTGAATATAGTATGTACATAAATTACATAATTTATTAAAATATTAATTATATATTGCATAAAATCGATTCTATATATTGTCATTTTCTCTAAAATTTAGAGTGTAGAAATAACAGATAAAGCATTTCATGAAAAATGGTATCAGTTTGGACCATCATTAAAACACATGCTTAGGATGATGATAATAACTAATAATTTTGAATGCAAACTATCAATCTCTGAAAAATTTAGTCTATCTCTGCCTTCATTTATGACGGTAATAAATTTAATGTACTACTTGTATTCAACATATATGATTATGGCATTTTCTTATAGAAATTATTTATATTGTACTATATTTCAATATTAATGTTATTGACGCTTACTTTTTCCTAAACATTTTGATTTTTATAGATCTTGAATCAGTCATACTCGTTCGCACTTCTGTTTCTAAAAATGAAATAAAAATGAAGTACGTTTTTCCGTTTATTGTACAATAAATATTTTAACACAAATTATTTTTTCTTTCTTAGTATTAATGATACTATGTAGAGGCTTGTAAATTATTTATTCATTTTGCTATCTATGTATAATATATTCATATTTCTTGTTTCAGTTCTAAAGAATGGAATTTAATTAAGATAAATAATTAAGGAAGAATTTAATTATCTATATATTATGTACATATATCATATTTAAGTATACAGTATTGAGAAAAAAATAAGAATTTGAATTAGCTTCTTATTTAAATGCCTTTAAGAGAATGCTGGAGCGACGGCAGAACTTAATCAAAATTGATATTACAGGTTTTCCGATGTATAAGATGCTTACGCCCTTTGAGTTAATACGATCATATAGGAAATTCGATTGATTAATTGTCGACATTTTTATTCCGTTTCCTACATAACCATTTGAGCTCAGGGACGAAAACATGTATTAGGCTCGATCCCATAAACGTAAGATTTATTTTATTTTGAAAAATTTTCCAATTATAGAATTGAGAAAAAATAAATCAGGATTGAAGTTATATTTGTGGAATCGGGTCTTAGAAATACAGTTGTATTTGTAAATGTGTATTGTGTACACATGCTGTGTGTAGGCCGTTCCAATATATACCATCTGTAATATACAGTACTAAACATCTGTAATATACAGATATAAAGTACAAATATAAGTACAGATACAGATTTTTAACTAAATTATATCGATACGAAGCGGTAGTAGCACTTTTTTCTTATGTCTAATGCCATTTTGGGTTAAGATAATATATTATCTATAAATGAATACCCTAGCAAACGAGAATGGATTGAAATGAATTGAAATAGATTCAAATTTTCAGAAATATTGATTCACGAATGTTAAACTGAATGTTTTTCAATTCTGAATGCATTTTTATTCATTTATAGGAATTGCATGGAACATATCTCTATGTCTTTCAATCTAAAAATAATATTAGCTTTTTCTGTGCATACAAATACAATTGTGAATACTGTTCAATTCAAAATTTTGAATAGAAAATGCAATTTTTCAATCTAATTGCATCCGACCAAATCTAATTGAATCCAATTGAATCCAAAAAAAGTATTCGGTATTTAAAATATGCATTCGGAAAAAAAAATTCAATCTATTTTAATCCATTCTCGTTTGCTGGGATGATATGATGTAACTCTCTTTGCTCTGTCTAAAAAGAGGTAGATACCATACACTTCGCAGTAGGCTGGGCGAGAGTGCGTAGTCCAAATGCTATCTATTGTAAGGAAAATGCTTATAGAAAACTCGAATTATTTTTAGAAAGTCTTATTACTACTCTTATCCTAAGCTCATAAATAAATGGACAAAGGTCATAAAAAAAAACGAAATATAAAGGAAATAAGGAAAAGGTCGTATTTTTAATTTTTCTTTCTTATCCTAAGATTAAATTCTAAAATAATATATTAACAATGGTCACTTCCCTCCTTATATAAAAATTTGATGTATCTTCAAATTTTATTTCTAACCAAACATCTTACTTCTGAACGTAACATGTCTAACTCATGGCTAGTAGCTGGGGTGCGAGCTGTATAATGTTGTGTTGGAGCACGATTTCTAAAATAACATTGATTATAATAATTTCCGAATAATTGCTTAAGTAAATTAATTATACTTGAGAAAAGATCGATCTTATAAAAAAATATAAACAGAACAGAGTCAAGGGCTATATACCCTAGTGAAGATAGTACATAAATCTCTCCACCTAGATTGTAGTTCTTTTTTGTTCTGCAATTCGATCTGCTAAATTGTTTTAATTCATTTAAACTTTTTCCCAAAGTCTGTAAGAGTTCAGGATTAAGTTCTATTATTGGATCCAATGGTATGTCGATTAGTTGGTGCTTTATAAATGTCTCATTAATAGTCTTTTGATCTATTAAGCATATGGTTTTATGAACTTCAATCCTGTCTTTGAGTAAATTTTCTGGTGTTAAGATTGCAGTATTGGAAATTGCTGTACAATCCGATTCTAGGTGGAATATAAAATTTTGATGAATTCGCACGGTATTTTTCAGAACAGAGTATAAATATATGAATTCTTCTTTCGGCGCAATTCCAATTTAGTGTTGATTCGTATGAAGTTGTCCAGAGCGTATTTTGTATCTGCATATATTTAGTCGTGCATTTTTCGATAACACGTTTAGTAATTATTTCTGTAAGACAATTATCTTTTATTCTTACTTTATAGTCTGGATACGTTCGCTTCAATAACTGATATTGTCCGAGTCTTGTTGTATTTAATTCTAACTCACTAATCGATATAAACATAGTTCTAAAAGAATTTAATAAAATAAGCTTTTGAGTTGTATCTATTGGATTGTCCAGAAAGTTCGTGTCGATTTTTGATAGGTGGCGTAAGGACAGGTCTGAATATATCAGAACGATTGAAAACAAATGACATGCGTACATATCGTAAAAGACAGTACTTGAGGCATACTTGGAAAAAAATTTAGTTGCGATACGTTAATTTTTGTCAGTTTTATACGCCTTTGAATATAGAAGAAAACAAAGTGCATTTTAGGCAT